AAAAAAAAAAAGAAAAAAAAGAAAAAAAAAAGAAAAAAGATCATAGTATCAGATTCAACAACCAGACAATCTATCTTATCATCCTATGCTTTCTATCTCAAAAAAAATGCCAAAAGAATAGTTTATTCATTTCAAAATCTCATCCCCTGACTGATTGCAGGTTATCTTAATGAGACTGTGTTTGTCATGTAAAGTCAGGGCATGATTTCTCCTGGCCCCCTCTGTTTTCTCTTTTTTAATTATATTTTGTTTTTCAATCAATTGATGACAAATGTTTCTCTGCAAATTCAGAATCTGGGTGGGTCTGACCCCAATTTTGGTGTCTTTGTCTACTAATTACCAAAGAGGAGCAGAAGGAAGGATTGAAGAACAGTCCTCCTCCGATTCTATAAATGGGTTTCCTCCATCATTAACCTCTAATTAACAGGGATTATCAGGAACAGTATTTGCATTCTTCCAATATAAGGCTGTGATTGATTATCATCATGAGGAGAACTAATAGTAGATGACTTCTAATGGTAACAGACTGAATAATCCACTGGATTTGAACAGCTTGATGAAGTTAATTTATGAGAGGAAAATTATAAATTAGGATACAGATAATATAATAACTGGCACTACTACCATTTCCAATTATGAGAAAAATATTACCTAGTAATTCTGCGTTCTAGTTGCTGCTATCGCTGTTACTGTTGTTGTTGTTGTTGTTGCTGCAATGATGGTGATTAACAGCAGCCACGACTCTTCTCCCATGCTTCAGCTGCGAGATTTCCAACTGCGTCTTCATGAAGAATTGCATTCTCTGCAATTCAAGATCCTTGGCAAATTTCATCCTCTGCTTCTCCATTTCCACCACTTGCTGCAGCTTCGAGCTCTCGGCTTGTTCATACGCCTCCCCAAACTTCAGTATTGCTTGTGTCAATTCATTCACGGCGTTCCCCCACCCTTTTTCTCTTGATCCATTCCTTCCCTTCACCACTTTCCCCACCTGACCTACATTCGGATTCACCACCTCCTTTTGAACCCTAACATTTTTCCTCCGAAAATTTTCTGGTAGGAAACTATCACTCGAAGTTGGGGATGTTTCTCTCTCCGATGCTGAGGAGTCGGAATCTGTTCGGGGCCGCTTGTGGAGCTGTATCTTCTGAGCTTTAGACCCCTTCTGTTGCTGCTGCTGCTGCTGCTGCTGGTGATTATGGTAAGGATTCACGGATCGATTCACTACAGGAATTCCGAGTGGAACTTTCTGGTTCTGCTGCAGAGGCGGATTTACAGCGGTGGCTAAACCAGCGCTAGACACAGGATTCTTCGAGGCCGGACCGATCAATTGATCCAATCTATCAAAAAATGGCCACTTACTGGGTGCTCCTCCAGCAATAATCTTAGCCTTCTCAGTCTTATACTTCTTCTTGACCGTATCAATCCGATTCTTGCACTGAATATCAGTCCTCGGTATCTTCGTATAGTCCTCTCTGCTACTCACAATATCAGCTACCTCTTTCCAATGCTTCTGCTTCAAATTACCTCTGCTCAGTTCCAAATACCTCTCGCCCCAAGCATCGATCAGCACCGACGTTGCTCCCTCGCTCCAGCAATCTTCTCTTCCGCCTCCACCTCCGCCGCCGCCGCCCTTGGACTGCTGATTCGGCAGAGCCAAGGTTATTGTGCCCTGAGAAGAAGGCGGAGGAGGAGGTGCTGCGGCGGCCACCGTCACGGTTATCCGGCCGTTGGACATCGGAGAATCAGGAGATCCACTCCCCGGCGACGGATACGACTGAATCTCATCGTCTTCCTTCATGGAATCCTGTCCAATCTGGCGCAGAATATCGCCGATCCGAAAATGGTGCGCACCGATCTGGTAATTAGATAGATAGAACGCGATCTTGTTTCACCGGCGCATGCGAATCGGTCCGGTACCGTCATGGGCCGGAGGTATGCCGCCGATCTGGATTGCAATGGTTCGCGATTGAAGAGAGAGAGGGGGCTAGGGTTTCGGTTGACCGGAGAAAATGGTATAATCGTAAGAAAAAAGCGGAGTTTATTTGGTTGACGGAAAAAACAGAGAGGGGGAACTGACGGCGTCGGTGAAGGAGTTATTGAGGCAGGGAACACGTGGCGGGGAACGGAAGAGGGTGGGATGACGTGGCGGAGATTGATTGGAGGGATTTGTACCGGGAGTTTCTGTAACCGGAGTGACCGTGATGACGCCGCCGGCACAGCCTCGGGTAGGTAGTCCATCGCTGTTTTTATCCGGTACAATTTCTAATTTACATAAAACTCCAACAATTTTCCCGTAATTACCCTTTTGCCACCGCCACCGGCTCAGCCCCCAGAATTCAGTAGACAGGTTCCGAAAAAATATACCAATTGCCATCTCCAACTCCTCTTCCTCGACATATATTTCTTCGTAGTTGTATTTTGATTCATTCATAAGAATTTTCGGAAAACAATAATTTTAATACAAATATATGACGTAATTTATGTTAGAAAGAATGGAGCCTCATATCTACGATATTTTCCGCTTTAGATATAATTTGTTTTATTTTAGTTTCATCCAAAAAATCTCAAATCAATGAAGGTGAATACCACCAAGTCTTCTCTTAAATAGAACGACAGACTCTCCATACTTTTGTAATTGTATGATATTTTCTGTTTTTGATATAACTTTTATTTATAGCTTTTATTATGATTTCACCCAAAAAGATATTATACTGATGTTGTCTCTTGTTTATATACTTATTTTCTCTCCACCATCATGAGATTTTGATCGCATTTTCATATTTATATATATATATATATATATATATATATATCCTTAACATGTTAATTCGTTAATCTTGATGTGATCCGCTTTTTATTTTAAATCAGATGTTCGTTTGAACTCGTTGAACTCTGACACCCTCTTAATTACTATTTTAACATGTCTTAAAAATTTTGCCAAGTCTTCTAAATCTATCAATGCGAAGTTGTTAATAATTCCTATGGTAAATTTTTGAAATGTTAATTAATCGGGCAGCACAAAGAAAGAAACGAGACTTTTTCTTGCACTTGTAAATAATTTAGCGGTGCCGATATTGTATTTGTCGGTATGTAGAGGATATTGGAGACATCATTGGGGAACGATTGAGAGAAAGAAGAAATAATGTGTATCTCATAGTCATTGTAGCATCCGCCAAACACCAAAGAAAGGAAGCAAACAAAGCCTTTCTTTGGTTATCATCGGATGATGAAGCTTTTATAAATCTATCTTCAATTTGGTTTATTGAACACAAAAAAATCGAAATCTTCTTATGGCTTCCTTCGGTTCGTCCCCTCTTCTTCCCGCTGCCGTGTCCTGCAGAAGCCCACCGTCGCGTTTGCGCAGCAATTTCACTTTCAGTTTATCTATCGCCACGATCAGTGTAAGTCTCATCCGAAAAATGCTTAGCTTCTTAAAAGAGTAATTTTGTCCTGACCATCAGTACTCGAGAGGTATACAACACCCGATTACTCATCTAGTATTTCGTGGTTTGTATGAGTCTACTTTTTTAAATGTTTGACAACAAGTAGTAAGAAATGCAAAAACATAAATTTTTTTTTAAATTAATGAATTGTCAAATATTTAATGGTAGTGAGTACAAGATTTGATCCTGACCGTTCTGTCTCTCTCGATCTGCCCACGCTTTTTATAACTGGGCCGTTGGGAGAAATGATAAGTAGGGTTTATAATTGGGCTAATTTTGAAACTGTGCACTGTGCAGGATGGTTCTTTGTTCTGTGGGCAGAGGCTGCTAATGGCTAAGGCTGCAACACGGTTTCCACTTCCCAGCGTCGCCTCCAAATCTAATATTTCTTGCTCCATTGTATTCTACCTTTAATTTCTCATGCTTTATTTAGATACAGAGAGGGCTTATATTATAAATTTAATTAGTTTTTTAATTTGGTTCGTATATTTTTAAGTCTCCTTTCATAATGACTTTCTCACCATTTCTCTACCACGTTGTTTGCCTTTGTTATACACATATTTCTTCAATTATTAACTAAATTAAAAGATAAAAACTACTACTTTAATTTTTCAAAATTTGATCTAGATTTTAAAAATAGATAGCAAAAGAAAAAAAAAACATGGGTAGATGTAGAACTAAGTAGTATTCATAGTGTTTGGGGAACAAATTAACATTTTTATAACACTAAGGAGGGAGATTTATAATTTAACATGTAGGAGTGAGGATTCGAATTCACGACTTTTGATCACTCGCTTAAATTGAACGATAGAAAAATAGTTAAAGGTTTAACTACAAAGGAGAATTGAGGTGGGTTTGAATTATTATTATTATTAAAAAAATGTGTAGGCACAACCAGAGACGCTACAAGTAGTTCAAGCAACAATTGCGAAGCAACTCTCTCGGGATGAGAGCACTGTGATCCCTCAAACAAAATTTACTGATTTGGGAGCTGATTCTCTTGACATAGTGAGTTCCCCTTTGGACTATAATCGTTTTGTTTATAGTTTTATGTTTTAAAAAATTATTTTATGACCTTTTTCATAATGTTTTTCTTACCATTCTTACGAATAGATTTAGAAAACAAAAAATAAAATCGTTATCATATCACTAACGAAAAGATACTCACAGGTTGAGATCATGATGACTTTGGAAGAGAAGTTCGGAGTTTCCATCGGAGAAGGCGGGGCCGAGGGCATTTCGACCGTTCAAGACGCTGCCGATCTGATCGAGAAAGTCAAGGCATCCGCTGCAAGTTAAACGAAACTGCAAAATATATATATCGATTCATGCCTTCAAATCCTGCATTATATTTGATGAATTTTGTAATGTTTTTGTTTATCCGTAATTCAAGTCAGCCTGTTTGTGGTTCAAAACTGATTCAAAATGACATGTAATGTAAACCAAAGAAACAAGAGTTGCAATAATCCAACTGAAATAATACTATTCATTACATATACATATAATTCACAAGTTTATTGTTACAAATTATTGAGAACCAACAGAATTCATTCTCTCTTTCTCTATGTATATATACATACACACACATATACATACATTTATATACAGTTATTGGCTGCTTCTTCTTCAATGATTGAAGCCATGAGACAGAGTTAATTCAAATCCTGCAACAAATTAACAGCCAAAACCATTAATCTTATATCTCTGTCAACAGAGTTGAATGAGTCCACAATTCATTTTGGAATCAATCGTTTTCAGATTTATAATAAATTAAGAAACGACAATCTTCTCTGTTTTTAAGATATAAATGAAAAAATTTTGCAAACATTTTCCTTCGATTCGATTATGAACTAACGTATTTGATATCAGATGTTTCTTTATTTAAACGAAGTAAACACGCTGAAGCATATTTTCAAGAGGAATCCATAGATTGAAACTTATTTTTCAAGTCATATTTTCGATCGGGATGAAGGATGATGCATGACATGCAAATCCGTGTACAGTAGATTATGAAAAATTGTTCGTATGTGAAGAAACGATCAGTGAATAATAAAAACAATGGGAGTTCGATTCATTACGTCTAACCGTCATGTTCCGATGATTCAGCCGACGATTTTCTCCATGAAAATCTCTTCAGATCAAATTCAGGCGTCCCCGCTGCATCGAATACGAGAAACAAAATTACTCATATAATTATGAACTGGTCCATCGAATTTAAGATTCCAATTTCGAATCAAATATCATTCCATCGATAGTGTTATTTCTTCAATTTCTAAATACATATTCATATAAATGCAAGTCAAAAGAAAAAAAAAAAAGATCGATCCGAGAGATCGAAAAACAGATAAACTCACGAGTAACAGGCGTCCGCGGCGAGGATATTCCGGCGATAGAATCCGGCATCCTCCGGTGGCGATCTTCCGAGGAGGTCCTGAAATCGGAGTTCCTCCTGAGAATGGTGATGCTCCGAGTTACCGGAATCTCATCGGAAATCTTGATCGGAGGCAGTTCGGAGGGCGAAATGGAGTCATACTTGCGTAGCTTTCCGAGGCCGGTGTCCGGCGTGGGGCCTGCAACGGTTTCGTCCCATAGCTTGTGAAGAAAACTAGTCATGATCTGCAGCAAGAAAAAGGGGGAAGCAGCCAAATGGTATATAAAGAATGTACGTAAACAATAATCTGATCTGCAGGTTTTGATAATCGATTTTGTGAAGGAAAATGGAAACGAAACCAGAAAACAAATGGAACAGCAAACTGTGGCGAGGATTACGGAGAGAGTTTGTTTTTTAGGGTTCTTGGTTTCAATTCAACCGGGAATAAAAAGGGAGGGAAGAAGAAAGGGGAGCGAGTGAGGCTATTATAGCTATGGTTTATTATAACCCTCGTTTTCTAAACCCAGGTAATTATAGCTATAAATTGTATTTGGTAAATATTTTTTATCCTTTCATGTATTTATTGAGAAAAATAAACGAAATTGATTTTTTTTTTTTTTTTGGAAATTGGAAGTTTATTATGTGATCTAAATAACGAAAATTTTAAAAACATGGTGAATTTGAAAATATAAAAACCTAGGATAAATATAATATTTCATGTTATATAAACTCATTTAATTTTTATTAGAATTAAAAAAAAATTCTGTTATCATCTCACCATAATTTTGCTAGCAATAATATATTTTTGTTTTAGTAAAAAGTATTCAAATTATTGTCTACAAAGATGCTCAAATTATAATATTATTCTTATCACATTATATAAGGAAAAAAAAGTTACCCAGCTAACTTGTGTATATGTTAAATCTTAAAACTATAGTCTTACAATAATTAAAATTTGAGAAAAATCTTGATGTATGAACAAAGTAATGTTACACTAATATAGCCAAATATAAAGTCTATAATGAAATTCAAACCTATGAACCATAAACTATTATCCTAAGTCCATTAACTTATTTTGAAAATAGAAAAAAATATTGAGTTTGGATATAATGGGAAATAAAGACATCTTTATTGAGTTTTAATTAGAAATTTGGGCTTTGAAAATCAGGATCCTTACTACTGTTTGCTTCATCCCCACAAATCTAGCCCAAAACTTCTAAGGCCCAAAAACATTATAAGAATTAGAAATTCGAGAAGATTTCATTTATTTTTTAAAAAATAGCTTGATTTTTTTTAGTTTAACAAAACATGTGGTAAAGTTCTTATCTTTGACTTCTTGATGTGTCTCAATTTTTTTCTGAGAAATAATGTATCTCCACTCATTTCATGTAAATGACTATATCATCCACAATTTTTGAATCACATTTCTTTTCTTTTTCGTATGACAAATGTGAGACGAGGGATTGAACCTAAGACTTCTATAAATGAGAGAGATATCTTAATCGTGAGCTCAGATTGACAATTTTCTAATGACTTGTCATTTTGATATCAATTATTAAACTATCATTCAATGTTGATCCATAATTTAGCATTCATGAAAAGAATAAGAGATTGAGTTTGTACAGCCAATAATAATAAAAAAAAGGACATAAATTATTGGAAATGGTGAAGAAAAGTAAAATATTAATTCGTAATGGTATTTGAAAATGTCGTTATTTTTATTTTAGTATTATTATTTTATATAAAATCAACAAAATTGGATGGTTACAAGATACACGAATAGACAAAACCAAGAAGAAAAGCAATAAGACAATCCACTTTGGATTCATGGGCATCAAAGTTTTTCATTGCATTTTCTTATAGGTATTGATTTGGACCTTTTTTTTTCCTAATTATAAATAATGGTTAACTCCTAATTTTTTCAAATAATTGTGGTTAACTTTAATTTTTTTAAATTAAACTTTCAACCTCTTAAAAAAAAAAATTAATATCCTCCATTAGATAAATTTTTTAGTAACGAATATGGATAATTTTTGTAACTGGATGGGACTATTTTAAGATAAATTGTCTAAACTTACTATTACTCTAGAATGAAATTATGAGTGTCTTGAAAAAACTTTTGGGTAGATAAGATGACGATTACGTATAAAATCAATGAAAAAGTAAAATTGGTAACATATATAATTCAAGATGCATGCAAGTTGTTGAACATGATTTGTCCAAGTTGTGGCTTTCCAAAGGCTCTCTCTCTCTCTCTTTTTTTTTTTAATTTTATTTATGCACTTATTTTCTCTTCTTCTCAACTTGTCCACTTTAAAGGGAAGGCATTTTCTTTGTCCCCCAACTTGTCATTATCCCAATCTTTTGAAACAATTCTAAATTCAGAAATGTTTCCCACTTGTCCCATTTGCTTCTATAATGATTGTCATTTTTCCAAATATATACACATTTTGGTTTGATTAAAGTGTCCCTCCCTTCCAAATCAACCCATTTTTGGATTTTATTTATTTATTTATTTTTATTTTTTTGGGTTATATAAGTCTAAGTTCAGATGAAGAGAGTGAAATTACAGAAATGGATTGAAACGAATATATTTCCATCAAGGTCTATTTTTTTTCCATCTTAATCGATTCTTTTTAGTGGTCGGTTCAATGCTCTTTTTGCCTCTTGTTGCTCGGCTGTTTTTTTCTTTATTTTTAGTTAGAAAAAATATTGAACAGTAGCAATGAAACACATCAATTCTTACAACTAGTGGCAAGTATTCAAATCAACAGAAATGCAATGGGTGCAACTTTTATTTGTGTGAGTTCAAGAACGGGTGGGGATTCAAATGTCAAATCTTTAGACAGATATAAGTAATACTTTGGGCTGAATGAGAAATTTTGACTAATTGAATCAACTCATAAATATATTGGGTCCAAACCTGTTAAGCGAACGCATATAAGACCCACCAAAACTTTATTAGATCGAAGGGTCACCTCTAATTTGAGACATGGAGAAATATTCATAATTATTGAGAAAAATTGGAGATTCCGAACTAATCACCTACAAGCATGAAGAGTCATCCGCAAATCGGAGAACTCTTCTCAAATAACAAGTCGAAGACTTCACCAAATTGGAAGATGAAGACTTCGTAAAGTTACGAGCCAAAAAACTTCATCAAAGCTGCAAACCGAAGAAATTCGAAAGCTACGAGCCAAAGAACATCATCAAAGCTGCAAATCGAATAAATTCAAAAGCTATGAGCCGAAGAGCTTCAAGTACTATTTTGGTTCATGTACTTTCAACATTTGTTTATTTTAGTCTCCTTACTTTGAAATGTTTATTTTGGTCCCGTCGTTTTTAACTCTTGTTTAATTTTAGTCCATATATTTTTAAAATGTTCATTTTAGTTTTTATAATTTAAAAAATGATTATTTTAATTCATATTTTTAAAATTTTAACATAAATTTTACATATAACGAAAATTATAGTATATTGTAATGTTTATATATTAAAAAATATATTGATTGCAATGACGTAGAAAAATGAGATTAAAAATAAAATAGATGGATTAAAATTATTATTTTTTTTAAAAAAATAGTGACCGAAATAAATATTTTAAAATAAATAAACCAAAATTAAGAGTAGGCGACCAAAAACAAACCTTGCGAAAATAGGGAGATGAAAGCTGAAAGTATAAAGAAAGACCAAACTAATATTTTAATTAAAAAAACTAATATTTATCTTAATTGAAAATTTGAAATGCGTGTAAAATTAAAAATTTATTTGCATTTATTTAAGGTGGTTGCAACTTGGACGGACCACGGGCCCCACTACATTCAAACTCAAAAGTGTGTGGGCCACCCCGCATTCGCTGCGCCGATCAATCGTAGTAAAGCAGACGAATAAGGCTTTTCATTTTCTTTACTTCGTTGCTTTTTAGAAATTTAATTATGTGGGGCCCTCGCCCACGTGCTGCTCGGTTCCATATTCCATGTTTACCCCTACAATATCTCCAAACCACAAACATGCCACCTGTGCTGTGGCTCGGATGCGATAAAAATAAAGGCCAGTTTGGTTATTAATCTGCGGCTGCCACAGATTTTTTTTTTTTTTTTTATAATTTCTGAAATGTAATATGATTGATAAATGAATAGAAGTTGTGAAGATTATTTACTAGATATTTTTTTCTTTTCTGAATTCACAATATATAGGCCGTAAATTCAAACTTCTAATTTCTTTTTATTGAAGATATATATTTTTATCAAACTTCTAATTTTTGTTCAACAATTACAGTACGTTACTAAATATTAACAAATTATTTATTAGAAAAAGTTCTGTAAATAAAAATAATAGTAGTTCGTTAAAAAAAAAGCAATAGTAGTTAAAAAGAATTACGGGTCCAAATTCGAACTTAGTTAAAATGACTATAATTTATGTATTGACTATTTAATTTATATGGTCGACAAAAAAAAAAATTCCACTAATGCCATTGCAGCCATATTAATCATTATCATCATTTTATTAATATTTCAAGTAAAACTAGAAAGCAAAGAAAGACCCAAGAGAGAATTGCTTTCATTACAAGGAACAGGAAGAAAACGTAAGAATTAACGTAACATAAACAAAAATGGCCACAACTCAAGAGAGAAAAAAAAAAGGAAAAAAGTAAGGAAAAGCCAACTCCAAAACTTTGAGAGAGTGGCGGAGCAAATTAACTAAAATTTATAAACCTAAAGAAAAAAGTCACGAGTCATCCATCATATCATATGTTGCCCAGCCCAATGCCTGCCCATGGTTCATGGTTGTTGCTTCTATGCTTCAGCAATGGCAGCCTCCAATTCCATTACCACCCTCACCATACGGCACCGTTTTGCAGAAACTTCCTCACCCTCGGACGACATACCAATCCCACACCACCACTGTCGTACGCCGGATTGACGACACGTCGTCCCCCACGAATCCCTCTGTTTCCCTGCCAATCCTCCTTCACTGCTTACCGTTTCCTCCGCCAGCTCCTGCTCGTGCTCCCTCCCCCTCCCCCTCTCTTCGTTTTCCCAAAAATTACAAAAAAAAAAAAGTGTAAAAAACAGAAACACCAGAAGAATAAAAACAACAAGAACAAGAACAAGAAATTAGAAGGTGAAAAATATCCCGTACACTAACCCCCGTGGAGAAACTCTGGACGTGATCCTCGAATTTGTACGATTGCGACGAGTTTACGTTGTTCATCTCCGACGAATTCCGCTTGTTGCTCGAACTCGAACACTCCGATGAGTACGAGGATGATGGCGACGTGAAATAATTGGTCGGGGAGCTCGGTTCCATGTCGCCGTTGAACATTTCTTGGAACAGCTCCTGCAATTTCTCGAAGGTCTCCTCTCCGTTTTCCTGTCGTTTTTAAACGTCAACATAAAAATCGCCACAATTCTCCCCTACACCCGAGTGCAGAGAATCCCAGCCAATACACAAGGCGGACCCCACGAGGATCTCTGTGCAGGGCAGTGCATAAACTGGTTTCACATAAAAAAATAATAATAATAACAATAATAATAACAATAAATAAATAAATAAAATTCCCTTCTCGTGGGACCATCCCGGGGATTTCCTAGGATTTCAACACGCATGTGACGAGATTGATGACACGACACGACACCAACTAAAAGTTGGTTTGGTCAGAGGAATCTAAATGGGCCGATGGCCCATTGGGCCATCGGATCGGCCCATTTAGATTCCTCTCTCTCCTCACTACAGGAGTTGCCAATAGATCCAAAAAGAAGAAGAAAGAGAAAGAAACCCTAATAATAAAGAAACTTACGTTGGGCTTAGTTTGGTCCATCATGGCAACCATTTCGGTCAAGAAGTCGCCCATACCCTGCAAATGAAGGGAACCAAACAGAGTCTTATAACATTTGGGGACGGAGGGCCCCACCAATTCCCTGACCAAAATTCCGTGGGGGATGCCAAAACCAAACAACTGTTTATCAGCTTCCACTCCAATAATTTTCTTTTTCTTTTTCTTTTTCGTTTGAAACTTTTGAACCAATCGAAAGGAACAAAAGCGAGGGAGCACCGTAGTTAAGGTGGGGAGAAGCTTACATTATCATCGTCGTCATCGCTGTCGTAAACTCCGACGTCATACAGCAGCCGTTTGTTGGCGTCCGATAAAACTACACCATGGGAACAGAGTAACTTCTAATTAACCCGTGAAAGGGAGGAAAAAGCCACGGTAATTAATTATAATTTCTTGAAATTAGTAAATTCTTGGAAAAAAGAGAGCGAAATTACCAGAATAGGCTTGCTGAATTGCTTGGAATTTCTTCTTGGCTTCTTCGACGAACTTCGAATTCCCCGACGCCGAACACCGATCCGGATGCCATCTCTATCCCAAAAACAAACGAGATTTCTCTAAAATTTCGCGATTTCAACCAAATTTTCCGGCGATTTGTTCGATCGCCGGCGGAGAAGAGGGAGGAGAGAGAGATAGAGAGAATTGGAGGATTGGAACCCTAATTACCAGAGCGAGTTTCTTGTACGCATTCTTGAGGTCTGCTTCGCTGCATTCTTTCTTCAGCCCTAAAACAGCATACAGATCACCGTTTTTCTCTTTCTCGCCGGCCATTTTCCGGGAAAATTTTCTCCCAAACAGAGAGAAAAAAGGAAAAAGAACAGCAGAGATAAATTTTGTTGTCGGCAAATTCACAGAAACCGAAACGCGTAAAACGACGAATCGAAACGATGAATGTTCGTGGAGGAGCACGCCATGGGCAATACGATTTCGGAATCCGTGGAGAAGAAGAGAAATTAGGGAAACAAGCAAAAGCCGATCATGGTCTCTCTCTCTCTCTCTCTCTCTCTCTCTCTCCAGGGCTGAGGCTCAAGAACACTCCAGAACCCCGGCCATTTTATGGTTTTTAGAAAAATAGAATTTTTTTAATTTTTAATTTTGGGGGGTTGAAAAATATGGAAAATAATTTAATATTTGGGGGTAAGGTAAGGTGATACTGTAGAAGAATGTGTCTTATATTGGAGTTAGAGGGCAGAGAGTGGGGGATAAGGTGGAGATATACGGCTGAGATTGAATCTGAGTTAGATATTTTGGAATTAAATGTCTCCAGAAACTTCTGTTTTTACTGTGGAAACTGAAAGGTCACGCCTTTTTTTATTTTTTATTTTTTATTTTATTTAACGCCCAGTTGTGTTGTTGTGGTGATGGATAATGTAATGTAACCGAGTCCCGTGTGGGTCCCACTTGAAATGTGCCCCGGTCTTTGGGTTAATCAACTTGCATTGCAACTTTACTAGACAAGATACGGAACCTACCCTTTTTTTTTATTTCTTATAAAAGAAAATTAATGAAGTTAAATTACGAATTTAGACTCCATAATTTAAACTTAGTTTCAAGTTGGTATTTATAAAATTAAAATTCTGAATATGGTCCCTATGGTTAGGTTTATTGATTTTAACTATCACAAATAATCTTTGCTGTGACCCTTTTTTATTTTTATTATTTATTTTTTTTCAACATGACAATAATTTAATTTTTTTTATTTGATTTTTCATATTAGAGTATGAAATTAAGTAAAAAATAGAAAAAAGAGGGTACAATTAATCTGTAAAGTTTGACCAAGTCCACTTGGTTGAAGGGTGGATCTCTCTTTCACTTAATAAAAAATTAATAAAAATTTATAATTGTGAGTTACTAATTAGTGGAGTGCGTATAATATTTTTGTATTTACGAACTAAAGTTTTAATACAAGAAAGGTGAAGTATAATAGATTTATTTTTTTTAAGATCCTTTGTAATAATTAGAAAGATTTATAGATATATGCAAAAATCGATCAATAATAATAAATCCCACTCATCCATTTAGGTCATCCAACTTAAAAGTATAAATTATATTAGAATTAAATCTAAATTAAAAAAAAAACAAATATATTTTTTAAGTTACTAAAAATAAAAAAGATGTAATTTTATAGTTAGTTAGCCACTCCCTCTTAGATATATGCATAAATCGATCCATAATAAATCCGACGAATCGATTTAGATCATCCAATTTAAAATATAAATTATATTAGAATTAAATTTAAATTAAAAAAAATATTTTTTAAGTTATTAAAAACAAAAAATATGTAATTTTGTAGTTAGCCAAAAAACTCTTTTTAACAATTAAGAAAAATAAGAATTAGAGAGTTAAATGTCAGACATTATCAATAAAATAATATGTCGAGTCGAAAAAAGTCGGCATCTTGACGAGGACGTGAGGTGAGGAGCCATTACCTTTTCCGACATGTGGTTTGCCCCAATTTTGATCGGGAATCTGAATCTCCAACAGATGAATGCTCTTACGATTTATGACATCTGACTTCAACCACTCAATTTTGATTTTTTTTTCCTTTTTTTTGCATGTTTCTGGAGAGTTCAATCGAGCTGCGTAATGGTTAGCAAAAAGAGCCTTCCAAATCTTATTATTATTATTATTTTTTACCGAAAACTAAGGGGGGAGATTTATGACATTTTGTTAGATAGTGGACACAAAAGTTATTATCTCTATATACCTTATTGAACGATAGGACGCCACACAAATCTTTAAGATTCAATACGTTATTTCAGTAAGAGCGTCTTCTTCCCTTTACAACAGTTTTGCCAGTTTAGCCGAATCCGTCTCCACCCGATCCGAATTGAGTAAGTTACCATAAACTGTAACTTTCGCATTCCCTCCAAAACAGCCAGTAGCGTCTTCACACTTCTATGGTTGCCGACGAATAGATTGGCCGCAAGAATAACACAACAACTTCCAAATTGTGCAAAACTCACCTAGGCCCTTTCTTTAATTTATTTTATTGACTTTCAAGTGTTATTCAGATAAATGTATCCTCAAATGTAGCCTAAATGGCCGGTAATTTGTAATGCAACATATTCCTATTTTCAGAAAAATATTACTTAACATTCTTTATATATTTAATTTATGTGCATTTAATTATCTAATTTCTCACCTTTTATTTTTTTGTTTGTTTTTTCTTTTATTAAAACATGTTGGGAGAGGATTATAACTCACCACGAGTAATATATGAAGTAGGACAAAATCAATATAATTAATTGAGCTAGGAGCAATTACATGATCTCATTTACGCTTCAAAAATTTCTCAATAACAAAACATTTTGTCAAATTTCATAATAAATAATCATTTAAAAATTGTCTACCATCAAATTTTTATATCATTCTATCAAGTGAGAATATCAATTTTTATTTTTATTTTTTTACAATGTGTAAGAGTGGAGGATCAAATTCACAAGATAATGTCAATTACTGTTGAACTATGCTCGCTTTGGCAAATAAGAATACCAAATTTATACATCACTCTTATAATTAAAACGTTTATTGATTGAATTGGATTACTGCAACATAGTATAAAACGAGCAACAATCAACTACAACACTTGTATTTGTTCAATACAAGCATGTCTTGTTTGGTTGACTTCATGCACAAATTATAAATGTTAAGTACATTGAAATTTTTGGAGAGGCGACACAAATGAGTTTGAGGACGGGATAAAATATGATATTAAAGATGTGTTTGAGAAAAGAGATTTAAGTAGAATTGATCTTCTAAAATCATTATCCAAGTGATAACATAAGGGTGTATTTGGGATGAATGGTAGAATTAATGATTACGAAAAAATAGATTTAAGTATAATTGAAATTTTAAAATTACCATTCAAAGTGATGCTTTTCTAAAATCAATTTAATTTTCCAAACATGACATATGGAAAGAGGAGTGATTTTGGCTATGTTAGTCCGTTCTGGACATACCTTAAAAATTAATTTAGAGTGATTTTAGATTTCTTAAAATCAATTTTTTAATTTGTCAAATTGATTCATTGACGGGAGGAGACGAAATACACTCTAAAAGTAATATTGAAGAATCCTGTCGACCTAAATTCTCTATCAGAAAAAGGAAACAAAGTTTGTGGTGATTGAGAGGGAGGACAGAAAATAAAAAAAAGAAAAGAATATCTGAAAGGAAAAAGAAAAAAGAGAATTTTTGGTGGCGTCATAATTCATAAATAAAGGGATTTCCTGAGTTGGATTTTCATTTTCATTTTGGGGAGAACGAAAGGCCCAAACAGAAGGTTGGAGAAACTTATGGTCACAAACCAAAACTGGTCCATTTAACCCTAAATCCTTAAGCCCACGTGAAAGCCAACCAGATTCACGTGCGAATGTCCTCCAAGTCACGTGCCCCCAACCTGTTTTACTTCTACATCATTGTCAGGATTAAACTGGTAATTTAAGCTTAAAAATTTTGTGTCTAATATTTATTTTAATGGTTGAAATATCTATTTTTGTAATGTCTGAGTAGCGAAGAAGGATACATGAATGAACTAATACCACATTCGAATAAAAGGATCCTGAAATCAAGGAAAGTATGGTTAGGAAAGGCTTAAAAGACTTAAAAGAATTGATAGTTATTATCTATATACTATGCTTTTTGGTGGCTCAACCATAAGAATCTAAAGTTAGTCGAACTTGGCTTGGAGCAAAACATGCTAAAAGACTAGTATTGTAGGACTCTGTGTTGTTGTAGGGATAGTATTCACTTTTCTAAGTAGCTTAGATAAAATGGAGTAGTCAGGTTGTAGGGGATGCAGGAAAATACGGAGGTAATTAAGGTCAAATCTAGATCCCAAATCTTGGGCGCGAGGCATTACAATTTTAGTACATGAAAATTTCAAAAGATAGTGATTTTTGTTCTACCTTTATTTTGCTTTTAAAGATATGATTTTGAGTATATGTATGAATATGCTAGTATAAGCATGTATTGTCATGAGCCGAGCCATAAATTTACTTAGGAATGGGTAAAATTTTATGTTAAATTTTTGTAGATAAAATTTTCATGATTGAAAATTTAAAGAGGATAAAACAGAGGAAAACTACAAAATCTTAGATATCTTATATATACTTTTTTGAACTATGACAAATTAAAAGAGAGCTAATTAAAATGACAAAAAAAAAAATAAAATAAAGAAAAGGTAACCTAATCAAATGAGTTCTTAATTTTCGTGTCCTTAGGCCGATTTTGCTACAACTTGCAATAAAAAGAACACGCCGTTGCACTCAAAAGAATTTGCCATTTATAGACTAATATTTTATTTTAAGGTAAAATCTTTTATAAGAGTACATCCACAATTGAAAAATCATTATGTCTCCTGTCTTATTAGACGTTGGGATAAATAATAATCTTCTAAAAATACATAAATAAAAATGAACGTAAAAGATAAAAATAAATATTTTGAAAGCAGACGCAAATACTAAAATAATATCTGAACGTAAAGATACACAGATGGTATGAATGGGGGATTATTTGTGGGGGCGAGGGTATTTTGGACCATAGGATTAATGAAGGTCATTTTCATGTTTAATAACAAAAGTGTACCCACCTTATCCCTGCACCATCGCACGGCTTTGGTTCTCTCTCGTCAATTTCTCACTGAATTCTAAGCCCTTCTCGAATCAAACTCTTTCACTCATTCTTCATTTTCAGGCAATCATCTTTTGAAAACGAACCACGATCTTTTTAAAAAATAAATTTGAGGTAATTTACAAAATTTGGTCTTCAATTTTATAAGTTTCCTTAAACATAATAATTTCCTTAAATTTTAAAAATATTTTGTACGATTTTGATCTTTTAATTTAAATCTAAATTTGTTGTTTTTAGACAAGATATCATAGCTTAAATTGAGTTTTTAAAGTACATTTAACTCTAAATTATTATATTTAAATTGTCCCTTTTCTATCTTTTCAATCTAGCATTTGCAGGACAAAGTTTATTTCCCTATATTATCACTCGTTTTAGCCACTAAACTAAGAAAAGAGCAAGATGTTTTAGTTGCTAATCTAAACTCAACAATGACATTATTACTCAAGCTTTTATATATATATATATATATATATATATATATATATATTATAATTTGGTTGATTTTTGGGTCAATAAAAAATAATCTATGACCCGTGATATTTAATCGAATCCTTTTTAAAACTATATAAGATGAAATAAAACTATGCATAATCAATAAGGAGCCATTTTAAGTTAACATACTAAAAGAATCCTTTTTTCTTTTACTTTTCTTTTAGTAGAAGACCCATTAAAATGATTTATAAAAGATCATTAATTTTATTTGGAAGGCACGTTAAGTGTCATTTCTTAGTATCTCATTATTCAATGAAGTTAGAATAACAAATTCAATATCAAATTTATCTTTACCTATAATCCTAACTGATAGATATACAAATACAACTTAGTTAAACGTGTCAGTGATTAATTTTCTTCAATACCGACTATCTTTGCATATTTAATACAACTTAGTTAAACGTGTCAGTGATTAATTTTCTTTAATACCGACTATCTTTGCATATTTATCTTTCCATAAAAAACATATTAAATAAAATAAGCTAATAACTTACGTTCCTGTATTAAAAATATATATTAACTATATTAACATCATTTTTTAAATATTGAAAAATGAAAAAAAAAGAAAGAAAGAAAGATGAAATTGGAGTTGGATTTGAAACACCTAAATATATCGGGGCATATTGGAAACTAATTTTGTTTTTGGAAAGGCACGTTATGGGCCGATGTCATATGGGCCGCSTGAAAAATATGTGGGCCGGACTTAATCTATTACGCGGGCTTTGCTAAGATCAGTTAGCCATGTTACAGAACGTGAATATCTCAAAAACATATTAATATTAAAATAAAAATATATACCACAAAGTACTAATATATATATATCAGAGTAATCCACATTATTTATTTATTCGCTCGAATTTACTATTTTTTAAATCTATTTTGTGATTGATTCCTCAGTTTTGTATATTTTCTTCTTTTATTTTTTTCGGTTTTTGTATGTATTTTTTTTAATGTTTTGTCTTTTTGACCTTTATTTTTCTTTTTGAGCATGTAATCTTAGAGCCTAATTTCATTATATTTAATTACGTAATTATCTTGCATAGTAAAATGTCTTTTGCATATTTACACGTTTCATGTCCATGAGCATCCAAAAGTATCTTGAAACAAATGCTACCAACAAAAATTCTACCACACAAAAAGCATGCAACAAAAGATTAAATCAGGAAAAATTTGAAGCACATACCAATTTTTAACATCCATGAAAAGAACTTCAATACTCCACTAATATCCTGCGCCAAAAATCTCCCCTCTACAAGGGACGAAAATCATCCCCAACTTCCAAATCAATTTCTAAAAAGCCGATAATAATATTAACTATCAGATTAAGACAATCAATACATTGAGATATTTATTATATCAAGACACATAATTACATTGAAGTAACAATTCATCATCAATATTTGGAGTCAACAATTATCTTACGACTACTAATCTTTACGATCATCCATTATGTCAAGACATCAATATCTTGAAGCAAATACTTAACTGAAGCAACAAGAAAAAATTATGTCAAGACATCAATATCTTGAAGCAAATACTTAACTGAAGCAACAAGAAAAAATTATTGAAGTGATCGATAAACAGGACAAAATAATGAGGCAACTAATATTCTCAGCGAGGTTCATGGTCGAACTTCAAGCCGAAAGAGGAAATTTTTGGTCACTGAGATCGTTAGAGGACATTGCAGATGGTGAAGATGCCTACCAACATGTTTTCAAGGTGTAGAAATACGCAACCCTTTCTAAAAAGTTTAGGAACGGTTCCTTGCGAAGTAATTTTTGGAACTAGTTATGACAATATTGCAGCTTATTTGCCATAAATTGGTAGCTTGAAAAGAGTACACATTTATACGAATAGTTTAAGTGGATGTCAGAATTGTATTCGAAAAAGGGATCAAGGATCTTTATCAGACTAATGGTTCCCCTTCAAGAGAAGCTGCATTAACCGATGCTGAACCAACGGATGTTAGTTTCGATAAAAAGAACTAACAAAAAAATAACTATTAGTACCTATGTTGGCCTTTTAGGCCAATAGAAATATCTAACCAGCCATTCTTTTTTAGATAACTATCACATCAAGGTAACAAATATTTTGGGACAACCATCATTTTGGAGTAACAAAAATTTTTGGACAACCATCATTGCGCAATCAGAAAAGTTTTTTGGAAACTATTAGTGTCACATATATTTCAAAGTCAACCAATTTTTAGGGACAACCAACATATTGTAACAATCATTGGTGCTTTATCTTGAGGCAACCGATGTTTAGGGATAACTAGCAACTCGAAGGGACAAGCAACATTTTAAGGCAACTATTTTGAGACAACCATCATTTTGAAGCGACAAACATTTTTGGACAACCATCATTTCGTGATCACAAAAAATTTTAGGCAATTATTATTATTATTATTTTTGATATCTGTGTGTTCGGGCCAGCTTGCACGCACCTCGGCTATTCACGGGCCAACCGCCCGACCCTACTACATTTGATTGACAAGGAAACTCATAGGATATTAAATCCTAGGTAGGTGACCACCATGGTTTGAACCCATTCCCTCTAAGTTCTTTGCTATTAAATTTTTAGGCAATTATTGGTGTCATATATTCCTAGGTTAGCCAATATTTAGGGACAACCAAGATATCGTGACAATCATTGGCGCTTTATCTCGAGGCAACCAATGTTTAGGGACAATCGACAAATCAAGACAACAATTGGTCCTATATTTAGGGACATCGACATATTAAGGCAACCATTAATCCTAAATTTTAAGGCAACCAATACTAAGGGACAAACAATATTTTAAGGCAACTATTTTGAGACAACCATCATTTCGAAGCAACAAAAATTTTTGGACAACCATCATTTCGCGATCACAAAAATTTTGAGGCAACAATTGGTGTCATATATTTCAAGGTTAGCTAATATTTAGGGACAACCAACATATCGTGACAATCATTGGAGCTTTATCTCGAGGCAACCAATGTTTAGGGAAAACCGACAAATCAAGGCAACCATTGGTCCTACATTTAGAGGAACTAATATTTAGGGACAATCGACATATTAAGGCAACCATTAATCCTAAATTTTAAGGCAACCAATACCAAGGGACAAACAACATTTTAAGTTAACTATTTTGAGACAACCATCATTTTGAAGCAACAAACATTTTTTGACAACCATCATTTCGCGATCACAACAATGTTGAGGCAACTATTGGTGTCATATATTTCAAGGTCAGCCAATATTCAGGGACAACCATCATATCCATGCAACCATGGGTCGTATGTTTTGAGGCAACCAATATTGAGGAACTTCCATAACGATGGCAACCACTAGTCCAATTATTTCAAGAGAACTAACATTTAGGGACGACCACCGTCGAGGATACCATTGGTTCCTTTTTCCGAGGCAACAATCATCTCGTGACAACCATCATTTTAAGGCAACATGATAGAACCCAACTTCTATTATTTATATTCAAAGAGGAGTTACAAGAGCCAATAGAGATTCAAGAGCTCCTTATGGTCAAACAGCCAACTCCCTTAAACCGGTCTTGCCTACTTGACCTGTAAGTGATGGGTTGGGCTCATATTTATCTTCTCAACTAGGCCATTTCCATATTTAAACCCATTAAGTTTTTTAAACAGGTTGAATCACCAATGAACCCAAAATTTTCAGTTGATGTGTTAGGGTAAATTTAATCATTTATACATATCTTAAAAGTATTCAATTTTCCATCCCCATAAAATGCAATTTTATCGGTGAGAGAGGGAAAAAGAGAGGAGAGAGAGAAACAAACCTTGATGTCCTTTCTTAACCCTCCCTTATATAGCTATATTTTAAGTGGACCTGGATTGGTTCTTTTATTAACCAGCAAAAATAATCATACAACAATTAAAGTTCAAGAAAAGAGAGAGATTGAGAAAGAGTACCTGAAGTCGAGAGAGATGAAATGATTACAACTTCCTTTCTTTTCAACTTTTGTACGTATTTGCTATATATATTCTCCCTTACATCACTACAAAATGTATTTGTATCAGTGAAAGAGGGAAAAAAGATGAGTATAGAGAGAGAAACAAACCTAGATGTCTTTTCCTAGCTTGACTAGCTATATTTTGGGTGAGTATGGATTGGTTCTTTTATTTTCCCAAAAAATGATCATACTAACAATTAAAACTTTTTTTTTAACAACCAGTCAACAATTAAACATGAAAAGAAGAGGAAGGAATTGAGAAAAAGTAGTACCCGAAGTCGAGAGAGATGGAAGGATTACAACTTCCTTTCTTTTCAACTTTTGTACATATTTGCTATATTTATTATATTTTCCATCCTTACAAAATGCATTTTTATTATTGAGAAAGAGAGAAAGAGTGAGTAGAGAGAGAGAAACAGACCTCAATGTCCTTTCCTAGCCTGACCCTCCCTTCCATATCTATTTTTTGGGTGAGTATGAATTGGTTCTTTTATTTACCTAAAAAATAATCATACAATAATTAAACTTAAAGAAAAGCGAAAGGAATAGTAAAAGAGTACCTGAAGTAGAGAGAGGAAGAAGATAGAGAGAGAGAAATGGAAGGAATACGACTTCCTTTCTTTTTAACTTCTGTACATATTTGCTATATGTACTCTAATTTCCATCCCTACGAAATGCATTTTTATAAGTGAGAAAGGGAGAAAGAGTGACTAGAGAGAGAACCAACTCTTGATGTCCTTTCTTAGCCTAACCCTTCATTCCATAGCTATATTTTGGATGAGTTTAGACTCTAGATGAGTTCTTTAATTTACCTAAAAAATAATCATACAAGAATTAAACTTGATAAAAAGAGAGAGAGATTGAGAAAGAGTACCTGAAGTCGAGAGAGAAAGAAAATCGAGAGAGAGGGATAGAAGGATTACAACTTCTTTTCTCTTCAACTTTTCTACATATTTGCTATATGCATTATATTTCCAACCCTACCAAAATGCATTTCTATCAGTGAGAGAAGGATTGTGGATTGGTTCTTTCCATAACTATATTTTGGATGATTATGGATTGGTTCTGTTATTGACCTAAAATATAATCATACAACAAATAAACTTGAAGAAAATAGAAAAGAGTTGAGAAAGAGTACCTGAAGTCGAGAGAGGAAGAAGATCGAGTGAGAGATATGGAAGGATTGCAACTTCTTTTCTTTTTAACTTCTATACGTATTTGCTATATGTATTTTATTTTGCATGCCTACAAAATATTTTTTTATCAGCGAAAGGGGGAGAAAGTGCAAGTAAAGAGAGAGAAAAAACCTTGATGTTCTTTCTTATCTAGGCCCTCCCTTCCATAGCTATATGTTGGGTGAGTCTGGATTTGGTTCTTTCAGTTACCTAAAAAATAATCATAAAGCAATTGAACTTGAAGAAAAGAGAGAGAAATTGAAAAAGAGTACTTGAAGTAGAAAGAGGAATAAGATCGAGAGAGAAAGAGAGATGGAAGGATTGCAACTTCTTTTCTTTTCAATTTCTGTACGTATTTGATAAATGTATTCTGTTTTCAATCCCTACAAAATGTATTTTTATCAATGAGAGAGAAAGGGTGAGTAGAGAGTGAGAAACAAACCTTGATGTCCTTTCTAGCATAACCCTCCATTCCATAGCTATATTTTGGGTGAGTTTGGATTTGTTCTTTTATTTACCTAAAAAATAATCATACAACAATTAAACTTGAAGAAAAGAGAGACGTTTTGAGAAAGAGTACCTAAAGTCGAGAGAGCAAGAAGATTGAGAGAGAGAGAGAGATATTGCAACTTCTTTTCTTTTCAACTTCTGTATGTATTTGATATATGTATTCTATTTTCAACCCCTACAAAATGTATTTTTATCAATGATAGAGAGAAAAGGTGAGTAAAGAGAGAGAAACAAACCTTGATGTTATTTCTTAGTGTAACCCTCCGTTCCATAGCTGTATGTTGGGGGAGTTTGGATTGGTTCTCATATTTATCTAAAAAATAATCATACAACAATTGAACTTGAAGAAAGAAGATAGTGATTGAGAAAGAGTACCTGAGTCGAGAGAGGAAGAAGACCGAGAGAGAGATGGAAGGTCTGCAACTTTTTCTCTTTTCAACTTTTGTACGTATTTGCTATATGTATTCTATTTTCCATCCCTACAAAATGTATTTTTATCAATGAGATAGAGAGAAAGGGTGAGTAGAGAGAGAAACAAACTTTGATGTCTTTTCCTAGTCAGATCTTCCCTTCCACAGCCACATTTTGGGTGAGTATGGAAAGGTTCTTTTGTTTACCTAAAAATTAATCATACAACAATAAAACTTGAAGAAAAGAGAGAGGGATTGACAAAGAGTACTTGAAGTCGAGAGAGAGATGGACTTACTTCCTTTCTTTTCAACTACTCTACATAGTTGCTATATGTATTCTATTTTTTATCCCTACAAAATGCAATTTTATCAGTAAGAGAGGTAGAAAGAGTGAGTAGATAGAAGAAAATCTTGATGTCCTTTCCTAGCCTGGCCCTCCCTTCCACAGCTATATTTCTGGTGAATATGGATTGGTTCTTTTATTTACCTACAAACAAATCATACAACAATTAAACTTAAAGAAGAGAGACGTATTGAGAAAGAGTACCTGAAGTCTAGAGAGGAAGAAGATCGAGAGACAGAGAAAAATGGGTCTAGAGATACCTAAATGAAAAATATCACCTGTGGAGGACTTCCATTGCAACAAAATATGGAGAAGCCACCGTTATGATCGGCCTCCGTCAATTCCCATCTTTTCAAAATGGGTGCTCTCTTCTCTCTCTCCAAGGGTCCCCGTTGGTAAGGTTTCTTCATCTTAGCTCTTAAATTTGAGTTCGTTTTTCTCCTTCGAGATTGTTTTTAGTACAGAAGATTCAGTGTTCAAGTTTAGAGTTCAGTGGTTAGTATCAAGATTTGATTTAGGGCCCTTCCATTTCAGTTTAGCCTTCTCAAGATTGTTCTTAGTTCATTTTTGAAAGGTTCTTTCAACTTCTTGCAATCGAAACTATCAGTTGCTGCATTGAGAATAAGCACTACTGCATTTGGTTTGACAATGGAAGTTTTTTCGTTGAAGATATGGCCACTAGCTTTTTGCTGCCCCTTCATCTTTCTCATTTAGCATGGTTTGAGAGCCAATTTGTTGATCTGATGCATAACCTCCTTCAAGAGAAGCAAAGCAGAGATGCTCATGGAACATATCCGAAGTTGGCAGCCTTCTGGAGGAAGGAAAAGAATTTTCATCTGCAGGTTTCAACTTTCAACAAACAAACGATTGGTTAGCCTTCTAGGATATGCTTAAAGTTTGATTGTCAAATTCCAAAGAAAATTTACAAATGTCAGCCACAACTCAAGTAATTGTTCTTGTCCCTCCTATGCTGATATTCTTAAAGAAAAGAAAGATTTGTTTCATTTCAACTCAAATTTATCAGAATTAGTGGGGACCCTATAAAAGATACGAAGGCCACTCGAATTTGGTCCTATTTGGGTGGTTAAAGCCGCCGAACTACTATGGAAGCTCAACTGACGACTTGGCATGTGGAAATCCTGGATTGGCAAGTGTTGACAGTCTCATTTGGGACTTGAACGGAAATTGGATAACTGATTTCATGCATAAACTTGGTCATTTGAATTTGGTTCTAGCACAATTGTGGGGTGTTTCTTCGGCATGGAGCTTGCTTGGAATTCGGGTTACAGGAATTAATTGGGAGGTAGACTCTCGGGTGGTTTGTGATACCTTGACTAAGCATTCGCATTATGCTTGACATATTTATCGAGAAGCCAACTCCTGTGCTGATTGGCTTGCTCGTCGTGCTTTTTGCTTCCTTTGGGCCTTTATATTTGTTATAGTTTTCCTTCTAGGCTCTATGCTTTGCTGATAGCTGATGTTATCGGGTCTCCATGCCCCGACTTATTACCTCTTATTGTATTTAGCGCTCAAGCCCCTATCTATTAGAAAAAACTTGTTAAAAGAAATAAAAGAATCTTTCCTTCAAGCTTATCCTTTTTTCTAGACTAAGAAAAAAGATTTGAATGATCTACCAGAACCTACATTCATGCAGATCCATAATGCAGCTCCAAAGTCAGACTTTATTGAAAAGAGATGTTCATGTCTCTGTAGTTTTCCTAACTAGGAAAAAAGGCCAGCGAGTGATAGCTATCATTTATTGCAAAAACTTCTATCATTACCAACTGATCCGTCAGCATCTCTGGATCCAAGACACAGGATTTCAGTTTCAGCTGGGAGTATTAATTCTACCAATGGAATTAATAACAAAAAAAAAAACCATATGTCAGTGAAGAAGTTTTGTCTCATAACGAGACTTAAGTGTTAGCAAAGGAAGGTTATGAAATTAGAAATGTTGCTGGCATTGAAGAAGGCGAGGGGATTTTATGCTCCTTATTTCAGGAATATCTCATCCTAATTCGAACGACTGCGATAATGACCTTCCTTCTTCTCCTCGAATTAATTCCATCCAGTCTCCAAAATCTCCTCTAACAAGGTTCCACACCCATCGCTTTTGTTCCTTGGTTAACTTGAAATCAGAATCATCTGATAAGAGAGTTCGAGTTGACTCCAATATTATCTCTAATCCAAGAGCTGCAATGACAGAGGCAAAAACAAGAACTCCCAAAGCTGGATACGTTTTTTTCCAATAGGATACAGCATGGAAAATGTTGTAAACCATAGGATGAAACAAGATAAAAGAACAAGAAGGGAATTCCGTGTGGATGCAATTATAGCTAGGGAGCCACTTCTCATGGATGCATGGACTTTAACTGCAAACAAAGCTAAATTGGCAACATTTGATATTCTGATTGCAAATGTTTCATTCTTAGCTAACTTTTCACGTTCTTCCTTTGACATTCCAAGAACATAACCACAATCAGTTAAGGCATCCATTTCAATAAATCCCTCAAGCAACAATGTATCATGGGAAAGGAAGCTACAAAGATGCAGATCAGATCAAGCATCTCCATTGTCGGGCAGGACACTTAGAGCGACCCTTGGTACATAATCTTCTTTGTTAGAGATTGCAAGAGTTATTTACAGCATAACGTTCCTTTGGCATCCAACTTTTAGCTTTCGATAAGTCTACTATCATCTTTATTTGTATGCTTAACTAACACTTAGGGACAACTAACATATCAGGACAACCATTGATCCTATATTTCAAGGTAACCAATAGTTAAGGACAACCAACCGGAACCTACCATCGTCGAAGAAACCATTGGTTCCTTTTCCGAGGCAACTAATATTTAAGAACAATAAATATATTTAGGCAACTTGGTACAATTATTTTGACGGAACCAATATTTAGGTACAATCATCATATCCATGTAACCATTGGTCGTTGTTTCGAGGCAACCAATATTTAGGAACTACAAAACGATGGCAACCATTGGTCCAATTATATCGAGAGAACTAATATTTAGGGACTACCACCGTTGAGGCAACCATTGGTCCCTTTTCCCGAGGCAACTAATATTTAAGGACAACTGATATATTAAGGAAACTTGGTACAATTATTTTGCGAGAACCAATATTTAGAGACAACCATCACATATGCATGCAACCATTGGTCGTATGTTTCGAGACAACCGTTGGTTCCTTTTCCGAGGCAACTAACATTTAAAGACAACCGATATATTAAGGCAACTTGGTACAGTTTTTTCGAGGGAACCAATATTTAGGGACAACCATCATATCCATGCAAACATTGGTCGTATGTTTCAAGACAACCAATATTTAGGAATTACGTAACAATGGCAACCATTAGTCCAATTATTTTGAGAGAACTAATATTTAGGAAGTACCACGGTCGAGGCAAGCATTGGTTCCTTTTTCCGAGGCAACTAATATTTAAAGACCTCCAATATATTTAGGCAACTTGGTACAATTATTTCGAGGGAACCAATATTTAGGGACAACCATCATATCCATGTAACCATTGGTCGTATCGTATGTTTTGAGGCAACCAATATTTAGGAACTTACATAACGATGGCAACAATTGGTCCAATTATTTTGAGAGGACTAATATTTAGGGACTACCACAGTCGAGGCAACC